ATTTACTTTTCAAGGTAGAAAATTATAGAGAAAATTGAAAGAACTAATTAAACGAAAGCACGAAAGAGCGAATTGTATATTATAATTATAAAATGAAAATTTTACGACAATTTCAGTGAAACGGGAATATTATCGCGAAAGTAAAATATATCAATAATATCACATGTAGGACATAATTGCAATTTTTATATCATAGATATAAAATATTTGATTAAGAGTTTCAAATTTTTGGTATTTATTATAACGCGTATTGATTATATTTCGTTGTTGATAAAACTTCTCGAAGAAATTAAAAAATTTGTATTATTTGGATTCCCATCACTGTTCGATTTCACGCAAAATCCAAGATAAGAGAGACGCGGAATATTGATATTTAAAGATATTTATAAGTATTAATCTGCCCCTATCTCCTGAAAAATATAGAGAGAAGCGGAGAGTTTTATCGACGAATTAATCTTGCGTTGTATAGAAAGAACATCGAAGACATCGATATTTCATCTGATTTTTTTTTTGTTTCTCTCTCTTTCTCTATTTCACCTTATATGATCTAAATACATATTTACAAAAACATCGAAAAACGAACGCTAATCTCGTAACGTTCGCGGATGCAGCAGTGGTCCAAAAGCGGCACGTCAAAAAGCCAGACCAGCTGATGGACAGAATTTCCATTTTCATGGCAATTTCGAATGGATCGAATGTTGACCCGTAAATTGTTAATTTGTATAGGTGAATTACGCGTTCAGGATTGATTTAGTAATTGTATAGCAATTTATTATAATTACACAGTAAAAATATATAATATTCAGAATATATAACGTGTATATATATATAGCATTATACGAAATATATATATATATATATATGTATATGTATATATTTCGCATGGTGCTATGTTGTCGCGGTTAATGATAATTAATAAAATATTATACCAGCACTATAATATTACTACAAGCGTGTAGAAGGATTGCGACTCGTTGCGCATTCTTTGCGCAGAGAAGGTACCGTATAATTCACCACCATCATCCGTGCTTAGCCCTCCGAGAACACCGAGCTCCTTATCGGTTACATGCTCTTACCAACTGGAGAAAGGCGGCCGCTTTGCACAGCTGCTCTGTTTCAGGATCTTTTTATTTTTATCTGACGACTATAGTTCCTGCGAAGGGTAGTTACTCGGCGACACGTTATAGCCGTAGTATCGACCGTATGCAAATTCGCGACCTATACGCTTTTAAATATGCGTACTGTGAACATATATTTTTAAGCATGCATTTTTTTTTACGAGATAGAAAATAATTGTACAGTTTACTATAACGGTTTTTTTTATTGAGACGAAAGATGAAAAGCTGAAAACAAGCACTGCTTGGCCGATTTCGGTGTTCTTAGGGCTAATGCTCCAAAAGTTTTCGACAAGGCCTGATTACGTCCGCCCAACACTGTCTAGACATTCAGTAACCACTTACGGAAGCTTTACTGATGCATCGTCAACGGCACGATTAAGATCTTCCTTTTTTTATATTTAAAAAGTCTGGCCAACTTATCGTCGTCTCGTTGCGATTTCTCTCATGAAAAAATACTATATATTATACACACGTATTTATATTTTACGTACTACATGATTGAATCGTGTGTTCTATACAATGGATCAATCGATCGTCAAAAATATTTTTAAAAGCGACCGCGCAGTCTCGCGGCATCTTATATGTATATTTACACAAAAAAACAGATTTATCATTTTACGCGTATAAGTACCTCTTAACCCTTTCGCGAGTATCGCAGATTCGCGCGTGCATTTATTGTGTCTTCAGTTTGTACTTCACACTCCTACGAATTCAATTTTTGAAAGATTTTCTACGCTAACATTACAGTATTAGTATAGTACATTATACTATAGCAATTTTTGAAAATTTTCTCTGTATTGTACAAGTTTCATTCGAGAAAATGCGATAAAATCTCGCCGGATTATTTTTGGAATTTCGATGAAGTCATCAGGATTTTTCAGAAAAACTGCATCTCTTCTCAGAGTCGATCGCGTAATTGTCAATTAACTCTCGAAAATCGACTGCCTGAAGAATCGTTATCATACATCTATAACATTAAAATTTGTTCTCACGTAAAATGTTCTAAAAGTTAGCATCTATAAAAGTCTTTAATTTCGGCCATTCCAAAAATCCGCCTCATCGAAACCCAAAATCTCGGCGGTAGAGAAAAATGGGAAACTACGATCCAAGCGTTGATCTCGCAACGCGATTCTATTATTATTATTACAGAATTGTACTCTGCTAACTCGATTGTATATTTTCGTACGAATAATCTCAAAAGTATAACTGGCAAACGCTCCGAGGGCAACTCGAGTAAATAGAACTGCAGACACATAAAGGCCGAATGTTAAATTTTATAATTTAAGATTGCACCTTTGTTTTAATATACCTCAATAATTCGCATTATTAATTCGCTTTAACTTAGCGAATATTTTTCATTTCGCATCTTTTTCACTGTGGAGAGAGCTTGCTTCGCAAATATTAATGTTTCAACTCTCAAACAACAAATGTTATGATCCACCTTTCTTAACAATGTCCAGCGTATTCAAAAATTCCACAACATTGTCATTAATATATTAATGATACAGTAATTATGTATCTCTAGTCACTGAAGGTGCAAACGATGCTTACCGCATTCATTGTCAAATATGGCGCATTGCATGTGAATATAAAAGTAGGCGTCATGAAAAAGTTTGTCCTTTTCAGAGTTAGAGTTAATTTACTCGGTTCGTTGTTAAAATTAAAAAACAAAAAGGATGCAAAGAACGATATATGCTGAATTTTGACTAAATATCCATTTTTATAAAAAAAAAATCATCTCTTGATATACAGCACCTTGTTTCATATCACTATGTCCATCAGATTCTTTCTGTAGTAGAGGAAAAGGAAGAAACGAATACTATATCAAGCTAATTGCCATATTGACACATAAGCGAAATAGTACAAGGAGCGAGTGGTATTTCTGTTTAACAAAGATAGCACGTGACATGCGACTCTGAGTTCAATTATGCAACATTTATGCTTGATAATTATTTGATCATGTTAAATATAGTGTTACACGACTCTAGGTAGCGATGTACAATACACTGTTAGAAATATTCTTAAATTTTATTAACTTTTAAGTTACACAATTGAATTTAATTTGAATTTAATTTCATGACATTACATTAAATTTAATGTATTTGTAACTAAAAAGTATATTTATGTACATGTACATAAAATTTAATATATTTTTCATGAAAATTTATGAAATTTAATGTACTTTTCATAAAATTTTATTAAATTTCATAAATTTAATATATAGGTTTATTACATTTAAGTAACTACAACACACACACAACTGTAACTAAATTTTCAATTAAATCATTCATTACTTTTAATTTCGTTCATAACCATGAGCTTCATTTACATGTAAAGAAAACTCGTGGTTACATTTCTAACAGTGTATATATAATTACAATATTATGGTCTTTCTTTATAATTCAAGTACGATGTCTCACTGACTTATTATTCAAACAAAGTATCGGATTTTTGTTACAAAAAATAAAATTAATCGATAAGTCGCACGTCACGATCTCTCTTTATAAGTACATTCTCGACCATTTAGGTCCGAGTTTTATGAGTCAAATTTACATAAGCTCTAGTACGATGTTATCGAATCATCATAATCCTCATCATAATCATCATAATCAGTAAAAGGGACAGTACTTATCCTTTTATTACTGTTTCGACAGAAGCTTATCTCTACGTTATCCGAATGCATACCGTAAATTTGCATTTTAATATTTTAATATCCCGTTAAGCTTCATTAAGAAAATTTATCCGGTTTTCTCGGTTAATTTGACGTTAACGTTTTTATTTTTGTCGTTGTAGCGGTTTTATCCCTCGGGCGCTTTTTCTAACTTAGCGAACAGCCTGTTATTTAAATAATTGATTTTTTTGCGAGCTTTGATGGGATTAATTCTTTATTGCTCGTTACATCCGCGATATTTCAGGTCAAAGCATCTGACTGCATTGCAAATGCCTATTCTATAAACGCGTTAAAGGATATATCGATTAGCGAAGTAAAAACACGACATGTTGTGTTCATCATCGACCCACTACGACAAAATTGAGTGAAATTCTCTAAAAGCTGTATCCCTAAGGAATGACTCGAATATTATCTTTATCTCCATCTCGTTTTTTTAGCCAAATTACATTATCATTATTTATCTTACGTCATTTCATTGATTATTAAAAAAATTTGACTCTCCGAACATGAAAATAGTGTTTTACTCCTCCTTTTTTGTTATTTAAATATCGAAACGCGCGTTATTGTTACTCGGGTCATTATAACTTACGACTTAAAACTTAAGCTGTATAAAGTTGAATCTACCATTTTTTGTAACGCGATTTACATTAACGAGTCGTGTGAACGTAAATGTTAGACACACGTTCTTAAAATCATATTTACAATATGTACAACAAATAACTTTTTATCTTGATCACTTCTGCGTATAATGCCACTTAGTGTGATTATTGCATCGATCCATTTCTCTTGTTCTCGTTCTTTCTCTCATTCTTTCTTTCTCTCATACTTTCTCTCTCTCTCTCTCTCTCTCTCCTGCTAGCAAAATGTAAGCGTAATTACAATTCGGAAATTCACAGAAACCGAACGGCAGTCGGATCACGTTTTAATGGGAGGAATTTTTGAACAAGGCACAAGTATTGCCTGTTATAAAGGTTAAAAATTGCAGGCTACAAAATTCATCAATCTACATCACTCTTAGGTCGCGCGCGCATTTAACGACAATGTGCTTTTTTTTTAACGATCTTAGTCAGATCGATGAAATATTTAATCGCGTGTCATTACGACGAAAAGATTTTCATGTATAAGAAATACAATAAAAGTGAATAAAATGCTGTTATATAATATACATTATATTATAATAAATGAAGAAATTAAGATCCTTTGATTCTGATTAAATGAATCTAATACTATTAGATGATAAATAAGCTTTTTATTCTGAAAAGAAAACTATTATTTTTTAAGTATCTTGCGGAATGAAGTAATGCTTGTGCCTTGTAGACTTAATGAGCAACGCTCTCGCGATAAAAAGACGTAATAAAGACGTGAATAAAGAAATATTTCATTTTTTTGCGTGTAACGTATCGCCTACGTTTCTATTGGCGTATTAACTATAAGCTTTCAAGTTTGTATTCCTCCGCAATAAAGAGAGCCGTTCATTTTAAACGGTTGTCGCATCGAAAATTTCGCAGAATTGTTAGCTGACCGCGATTAAGTAATTCCGGCTAACTTAATCGTCAGCTTAAGCTGTTCTCATTCATTTAAAACAGCCGTGACGCCGGGTGCATAAGTTACCGTTGGATGCGTATAAAAGCCGGCGTAATAATAGTAAGGGTCGTTGTCCTCGTAACCCTTTTGATGTCTCTGCGACGCTTGCAGTGTCTTATTATAACCTTCAAGTGGTAGCACCATTACTTTGTGGGAAATCGTTTGCACATCATTTGAATCGCTATGCTTCGATTCAAACAAACCGCCCTGTGAATAAACAAATTACCATCAGCTTTTATATTCAAATTTACTGATGTGTAATATAAGAATAAGAATTTTTTCTTTGATTTTTTAATATATTATTTCAACATATTTTGATAATCATAAATTGAATTAAATTTTTTGTATACTTCTATTTTTAAGGCTTATTCATTGATTGCAGTTATGATATCGACATTACGTTATGATATCAAAAATTATAATTTTCTTGTACATCAAAATTTATTTGTTACATCTATAGTGCAAAAATAAATTAATATGATTTTTTGGTTTTAATGTTATAATCCGATATGATAGTAGAGAACGATTAGAGAAACTTTAGAAGAATAATTCTGAAAACTTGTACGCTAAGCACATCTTTTTTAGATATCATATAAAAAAAAAAATTACCGGAGGATTTAGGCTGCAGGGCGGTTGTAGCTCCTCGGGACGGTAGAACCATTGAGATCTGACTCTCATTTCTAATTTCTGGTTTAGCCACAGCGACACAATCTTGCCGATGTAAGGTTTTTCGTGAGGTTTCCGATAGGAGTAAAACAATACGCTGTCGCCTATATTTATCTTTTCTCTGCCGCGTTGTATAGCTGTGAAGTATTGATTTCCGCCAGATACTCGACTGCCGCTCGCCCATTTCCAATGGCGTTTGTTAGGCAACATCCGGGCTATTGGACTGGGAGTCTCGACGGGATTCGACGGGTTGGTCACAGTTGTTGGATTAGAAGCGCGATTCTTTGAGCCTCGACTCGCGGAGCTGTTGTTCGTCGAAGTCTGTACCGTCGAAGCGTGTCTTGTCAAAGCGCGATTCGTTGTTGTGCGATTCGTCGAAGCGCGATTTGTTGTCCGATTCGTGGAACCACGAATTACCGAAGTGGAAGTCGTCGAAGCTTGGCTTGCAGTAGTGCGATTGTTCGAGACACGATTTGAGGAACGATTCGCCGATGCCTTCTGCTGAATCTTTAGCTTCTTTTCGACGGGTTCTGGTGGTTCCTCAGGTTCTGGTGATTTCTCAGGTTCTGGTGGTTCCTCAGGTTGTGGTGGTTCCTCAGGTTCTGGTGGTTCCTCAGGTTCTGGTGGTTCTTCGTCGTCTGCCTGGACATCTTCTGACAATTCTTCGGATTTCGTCTGAGGCTCATCGCAAACTTGATTGGGTTCCGTTTCTTCCGAGTCTACTTGAGTCTGTTGGACAAGTTCTTCTTCTTCTTCTTCAGGCTTTAATGGAGTCTGTTGAATGGGTGCCGACGGTTCTGATTCCATTTGAACATCATCATCTTTTTGGACTGGTTCTGACGGTTCTTCAAGCTCTTTTGGAGCCTCGTTATCTTTTTGAGTAGTTACTAATGGTTCTTCAGTCTCATCATCTTCCTCAGACAACCTCGTCTCCTCGATAGTGGAGAAACTTGAATTCGGCAAATCTGTAATTGCTTCTTCCTCATTCCTCTCCTCCCAGCTGTTCTCTTGATTGCTAAAAAATATTTTAATATTTCTGGTAAAGATATGAAAGAAGCTCAAAGCAAAAGTATGATTAATCCATAAATTAGAACACTTATTTTAAATATGATTTTGTAATCAAGATAAATCTTATAAATTAATAATAATTATATAATTATATAAATTTGAATCTCAGTTTATAATCTTTGTATGCGCAACACATATTGTAGTAAATAAAACTTTTCTTATCTTCGACAGTTTGATATACTTCATATAAATCATTTATATGACAGATTATAATAATATACATATGTATACGTACCTTACGCTGTTCGCGTCGCCAATGCTACTATGATGCCTGTGTTTATGCTTTCGATGTTTTCTGTGTTTATGCTTTCGATGCTCTTTACAGGACCTATGTTTTCTGTGCTTTTTCTTGCCTTCTTGAGCCTCTAGTAGCTTTCTATTCTTTTTTATTTTCTTCATGTGCTTCTTTTTGCGGTATTCTGTACCGCTTGTACTGCTCGTTTCAACATTCGTTTCAGTCTCAGCCTCGGCGCATTCGTTGGCATTTGTCAATTCTATGTTAGAAACGTATGGACATGTGGCGAAGCTGTTGTTGCTAGATGCTACATTCCGAGATGTCGACGGAACGCTGTGACTGTTTGATGTAATGATTTGATTGCTCGTGGAACGCTTGTCTTCCGAAGTCGACGTTTGCCGTCGTCGTTTGCCTAATGAGAGTAGAGGATTCGGATCGTACACTGTAGATGAAAATAAAAATGAGAGATAAATGCTGTTTTATAGGATAGGAGACTATGTACATTTTTATTTAAGCGACTTAAAGATGTATATATGTGAGACACGTACCTACGACAGGATAATTAGGTTGTAAAAGTCTGATGTCGTCCAAGACAATTAAACCACTGTCTCCATCGTCGAATTCCACGGTGACAAATTTCTCGTCGTGTTGTGGATCAGGTACCATAGGTTTCACAGAAGTTCCCGGGTACAAACACCTATACTGTTGACTCCAATACGCGCATAATCTCGTACCGGGTGGTAGCTCTTTCGTTGAACTCGGACACACTTCCACAATCTGTGTGTGATAAAATATTTTTACTCTCAAATATACGTATATTTCATATTTTCTTTCTCTTACACCATATTAGATATCAAAAGAACAATAGTAACTCAATTCTTTGAATTAAATAATATTTTAATATTTTTAACTTCCATGTGTGTCAAAATGTAAATCAAATTTTGATAAATAATATTTAAAAATATTAATATTCCAGAATTAATATTCCTAACCCCATTACGTCAAAGTGTTAATGAGTAAAGATAAATATAATTAGTTAAGTTGAATTATAATATTAATCAAACTTTTAGTAATATCAATATTTTTAAGTGTATTACTTAAATAGCCTCGTTTCTATATGTACATATATATAACTCGTTGCCTTATGATTATTTTATGAGTTTTGTATGCTAAAATTGATTGTTTTTTTTTCTTTCTATTATAACAATTGCATAATTGGCCAGGACATAGATGAACATGACGAGAATCAGACTCGTGTTTGTTAAATTTAAATTCCAATTAGCGTCTAGTTTTTATTTCGTTTAAACTATAATCTGATAGTGTAAAGCCCTAGACACGATAGGTCTGTTTTTTATTGCACTGTGTGTATCAATTCAGAAAGTGCAGCAATAAAAAGCAGACCTAATGTGAGACAATAGCGACAAGAACAGCGATAGTAATAGCATAGAAATAAGCGATATGTAATTGTCGCTTCCCGTTGCACAATGCCGCGAAAGAAATAAAAATGCCAACCAATCTGGCCTCGTATATAGCTTGTAGTATATTCTTCCATCTGCTTCAAGGTTATAGCACGTATAAACAGAATGAAAAGTCTGATTGGTAGGCTATAAGGCGATAGACACAAAATTCCAACTCGTCGGAAATTTATCGCTATTGCCTTATTTTATGTTCCTATGCATTGACGTATTTCCGAATATGGATTCCTTTGTTTTTATCGCTATTGCTATCGCTATCGTAATTTCAATCGCTATCGCTGTTATCTCGCATTATGTTTAGGGTTTAATTCATTATAAGGCAATGATTTAAAATAAGTTGATGTTGGCAGAATCAGTTCCAAAGTTAAGTCGAGCCTTATTACCGCGTCTTTTAAGATCTCTTCTCTGGAGTGAATATGCGGTCTATTTCCACGTTCACCATCTAATGTAATAGCATAAACATCAGGTGCTTGTACAGCGCTCAGTCTGCCTGCATAGAAGAGACCGCCTATCGCCATGAGAACTCGCAGCTGATCGATGGCCAGATGAGCAGATGTTAACTTGCATCGGTTGACAATGCTTTCAGAAGTCCTCGCAGCTGCCTTAGCGCACTGTTTGCACTCCAGGGATTTGCGCCGCTTAGACTCTTTCTTATCACGATTCGGCGATTGCGACGAACTGGATTTCCGCTTTTTCTTCTTCGACTTTTCGTGTCGTAATTTTTCCGGCTCCTCCGACTGTTCTGCAGATTCTGTCGGCGTGCATTCTGTCTCCTGGTACATAGATGAAATTTTATGAGAATTGTTGTATCTTTTTTTTCTTATTTTTTGCTAATTTTATTGATTTTATTTATGAAATGACAAGTGTACACATTAAAGCACTAAAATTGTACGCATAGCTTTCATTAGTTGAAGATACAATTTTATTTAATATGCACATCTCAAGAGAGAAATTTTTAATTTTTAAGACAAATATAGAGAACTAAGATAAGATTATTGTTTTAATTTTTTAATTAAATTTTATTATAATTTAAAAAAAAAGTTTTATATATTTTTAAGCTAGGAACTTGCAACTTTACAAGATTTTTCCTAATTCTTTTTAAATTATTTATTTGCGAAATTGTACGAAAATTTATAAATAAATGTAGGTATGAATTTATTACCTTGACAGGATTTTGAACTAAAGGTTCTTTAGGCAGAACATTTTCGGGTTGTATCGTATCGTTCTCGTCGTCCTCCCAATTTTTTACTTTCACCTCCGCTTTGAGCTTCGGTTTTATTTTGCTGCTATGCTTCTCAAGTTTCACTTCTTGACTTAGCTTTGCTTTTTCGGCGATAATCGAGCTAATCACATTTTTGTTGTGCAACGGAGTTTGTTTTGCTGGCTTTGTCTTTACTTTTGTAACTTTTTGCATCTTAGCTTGTGGCTTCAGGGAAGAGATTCCTGATTTAAATGGCAACGGAGTATAGCCGGTTTTATTATTTATACATTGCTGAAAATAAAAATCGAATTGCACTTATTAAAATCAGTAATATATATGGTAGATGTTTAAAAAATTTTAAATGATAAACCTTAGTAAATTACCTTTGTTTGTAGGTGTCTATTTTTTGAGGACAGTACGTAACCTACTAGAGAACTCTTACTTTTAGGTTTTTTAGCAACGATTGTCTCCGTTAAATGTCTGACACTACCCGAGGTACACGTGAGCTTTCGCGGTCGTCCTACTTTTCTCTTCTTGGAAGCGGAAGTCGAACTTGCGACAGTCGGTGCTGGTGATGACGTATCGTAGCCCACCTAAAGATAAAAAATAAGAATCACATTTCTAAAACTCGTAGGCTTGCTTTTTACACTGCGTTAGTAATAATCAAATGAATAAATAAGAAGATTAATATGTTAATAAATAAAATTATCTAGAGAAATATTAATATACATACCGTTTCCGTACTTTTTTCGTCATCCTCTGGTGTTGCTTTGCTAGGTAATACTGGGATTGGTGATGTCACGGGCGGTACTGATATCGGAATACTGGGTATATTATCCAAAAGTTTTATATGGCTTCTGGGCTCGCTTAATTTCACGAGATTCACGTTACATTTTGGCATAGTTAAAACAGCTGAAGTTAATGGCGAGGATGCATCAGGTTCCGGTGACCTTGATGATCTCGAGGGTGATTTTCGCGACGGAGAAGTCATAAAATCTAGCGCAGGTGGTGATGATAACGTCCCGTGGTCGGAACTAAAAAAGTCATTAATAACCAAATTATTCAAATTAAAACAGAAAATTAGTATGAAAAATTTACTATATAAAAAGGGCATAGAACCAATATTTAAACAAACAAATTTAATTAAATTAGAATCATAAAGTTAACATACGTGATTCGACTCCGATTCGGGTCATTTTCAATGTTGCAAAGGTAAATCATAAATAAAAGTACAACTATACAATGTGTTAAATAAATGAAAATACCATAACTATAACAATTCGTTAAATTGCCAGCAAATTCTTGTCTTTACTATATAAAAAATATCCTTAATCTTTAATTACAGTTACAACATCTTAAATAAAAATGAATATGATTAAATAATAACATTTCATAAAATCGCAAGCATAATCTTGTCGTTGAAATAAAAAACGTAAGTTGTCCATTTAATATTTTGATCTAAGTTGCGAATGAAATCGTATCTGAGAAAGAATAATTCAAAACTTGAGACCTAAGGTTATATATAAAGAATATTGTCTATAATGTGTAACACAAAGTCATTTACCTTGTCGGTGAAATATAATTACACAATAATGTGTCAGTGAAATATAAAAAAATCCAATGATGCATCAGTGAGATGTAAAAAATCCAGAAATGTGTTATAATTTTGCGTTGTAACTACATGTTGTAACTTTAAAATATTTTGCACTGATGTACGCGACACACTCTTGATCGAGTCAAATAATGTAATGTAACGACAGAATGTCAGGAGAGGACAAGAAACCGTGACAAAATTAAGAAATGGAAAGGGAATGTATCATGTTAGTATATGTGTCAGGTAATGACTCTGTATCCGTTTGTCTGTTTATACCGTGTGTTTGCTTCTTAATGTGAATCATCTCAGAAATTAATCTTTTTTTATAAAAAGGTTCTATATCTAATATTTTCACGCTATTCCATTTAAAATCGTGATTCGTTTCAATTCTGTGATTCGTTATTACAGATGGATTCAAGTTTTGAATTATTCTTTCTCAGATACGACTTCATTCGCAACTTAGATTAAAATATCAAATTGACAACTTACGTTTTTTATTTCAACAGTATACAGGATGTTTTCAAATTCACGCCCGCGAAGTACAAGACGTGATACTTTAAGCTAAAACAAATAATTTTTTCCTTTAACAAAATTGCATCCGATAAATAATTTTTGCGCTTATTTGTTGACTTCAACCTGCTCTCCTGCAAAAACTACTCATCGGATGCAATTTTGCTAAAGGAAAAAGTTGTTTTTTGTGCTAAAACGAACAACTTTTTTCTGTAGTAAAATTTATCATTTTGATTCACACTTACCTAATGGAAGAATGACTCTTCTTCCGCGGTCTACCAGGAGTTTTCTTGTCATCCTTTTTAGGAATCAACTTAGAAAGCTCCTTTTGTTTCTCTCTGTATTGTCTCTGAATATCCGCCATCCTAACTCTCATGTCTAGTTCTGTGGCGTTCATGCTTGGCCAATCGTCCTCGTTATCGCGTTGTCCTTTCTTGGCTATGAACTTCTTCGCTTCTAACTTTGTTCGCGCGTTTTTATAGTCGTGATTGTCTCTCTCTTCGACGGATGTTTTACGCTTGTTATTTCTAATTTCGCAGCTCGTTAACTGTTCAGACATGACTTTTGACTCGAACGTTTCGCCCTCCGAGTCCGACAGATTGTCTTCTTTCGCGAGCTTATCGTAAAGCGCATCAGTACTTCGTAAATTATTAGATGTTTTATCCGGAAGAACTTGGAGATTTTTAACAACCTTTGTATCGGAGTAACAATCTTCATCGTCTCTGTTGAAAGATTGTTCTTCCGAGCCAATAGTTCTTTCGTCGTTGATTTTATTGACCTCTTCCTCGGAGAAATTATCAATGTTATCGATACTCTCTTTTATTTTCAAAATATCTTGTTTTCTTTCGTTAATTTCCGTTGTCTGTTCTTTGATATCTTCCTCGTGATAATTTAGCGATGCATTCTTAATCTCCTCTTCGCTATCATTGAGTTTGAATCGTTTGGAACGGTAATCATCAGTCTCAATATACTTTCTTTTGTTTTCATCTTTTTCGAGAGAACCGCTTCTGCCCAGATTCAACAGTAATCTACCGGCATTTGAGATTTCCTCCGAACTTTCGAGGTTTAATTTCCGGGGAACCTTGTCGCCTACCTCCATAATCTGTTCGGCCAGTGCACAGAGTAATCCCAGGGGACTGCCGACGTTGTTGTTATTATTCTCACTCTGCTGACTTACTAGTTTGCTTCTAACAGGCGACTTTTCGACATCCGTGTCTAATTGCAAATGTTCCGGCTGACCGATTCGTTGTTCCAACTGTTCGATGCTATTTGACAGTAATTCGAGACCGCTCACGTCAATGGCAGGCTTTTGCCCCTGTATTCTGGACTTTGTCTCCGGAGACACGTTTTCGACATGATCGGACTTACGGGTCACATTGGGTCTCGAGAATGGTTGCACCTCACAGCGCCAGACAGTTTTAGGCTTAACGTAAGCGGTGATATCATGGGAGACATTCTTCTCATTTTTAGCTAGCAATTTTTTATCCTCGAACGCCTTGATATTATTGTTGTTGCTCCTGCTGTCATTATTGTTCTCGTTAAGCAGACATTCACCGATCAAATGCCTGTCGTTTCGAGGCGAATGTTGTCCCGATTGATGGTTAATATGTTGCTCCGATATTGCAGTTTGCGAGGAAGAGATTTCGGTATCGGTCGCGCCACTCTCCAGAGAGTTCTGGCATGATCTTAGAAGGTGCAACTTCTTCGGTATCGTCTCAGAGTATCTCTGCTGCTTGATCTCCACGTTTGATCTTTCCATGGATTCGTCGATTCTTTGAACGTTAGGTATCGCAGCTTCTTGCAAAGCCGCCGCATTTTTCTTCAGCTTTTCCACTACGTTCTCAATACCTGGATGATGGGATTTCTCCACTGAGTGTCTTTTCGTTACTTCTTGCGGTGATTTCTCACAGTTGAATCTAGATCTGTCACTAGTGGACGTTGGCTCGCACTGAGATGATTCATAGCACACTTCGTAGCAACTGTCGTCGGTTTCCTGCTTGATAGCTACTTGTTGCACTTCCTGATCGTCGCAATCGATATTAGGCATATCGAAAGACTTAACTGTGATTTGGGGCCGGGTTTCGGCATTTGAGGTATTTCGGTTCTTGTCGCAACTCTCGCAGTTGACTCTTGGTGATTCCGTCGAATCAGCTACGTCTGACTTTGTCTCGTTGATGACTGGTGCATCCGATGTTTTAGAGCACATTTGACGGTGAATGTCAATATTCTCCGAAGCAATGATTTTCGATTCGACCTAGAAAATAGGACGATTCTAGATATTATATCAGAAAATATATCCAGAACAAAACGATTTACAAGAAAATTATAATTGTATGTATAAAATTATATATTGTATATTAGGAAAAAAATTTAGTGCTTTCAATAAAATTAGCATTTTTAACAATCAAATATTTTGTTTATTTTGTTAACAAAAAATTTAGTTGTTTTTTTTGTTCCTTTCAGTTTTTTAAACAACAAAAATATTTGTTTATAGCAGTTAAACAATTCAATTGGTATAATTAAACATTTTCATTCGGTACATTTTAACTAATTACTTTATTGTTACAGCAAAATTTTGGTTCATAAAACAAAATGTTTTTCCTAGTGTAACACAAGATTACATTGTTTTGTTTTTATAAAATTTAAAAGGAATTAACTAAACATTTTTAATTAAAGTGTACCGATCAAAAATATTTGTTTACATCAAGTATACATCGTTTATTGATATAAACAAATATTTTTGTTATTTAAAAGCCTGAAAAGTGTATTGAGACAATTAAATGTTTTGTTACATGAACAAAATATTTAGTTGCTGTTAAAAATGCCTCAATTAAACATTATATTTGTTTTCTAGTACAGAAAATTTTAAACAATTGAAAGCTTACCTCCTTTTCATGGACATTAGGATCTTGCATAATATTTTCCTCGTCTTTAGAATAATCATCTCGTTGATCTATGTTGACGTCTCTTCTCCTCGCGAAGAATTCCAAGTTCTCATGGAAACTATCACAGTTCTCTTCAGTGATCTCAATGATCCTAGCGCCGAGTCTGCTGCCCCTGGTACAGATAGGCGTGATCTTGTCGTCCTTGCAAACTTCCTCGTCGACACGAGCATCTTGTTCAATCGCCTTCACAAGACCTCTCCCATCTTTCGCCGAGTATTTAGCGCAATCGGCCATATTAATGATTGTATTCTCCGCCTTGTCTACTTTGGTTACGATGCCGCATACGGTTGGATTTACAGTAGTCGTAGTTGTCGTGATTCTGACGACGTTGCAGATCCTCTCCGTCGGCGATGGCACGATCTCGAAATTCGCAGCGGTTAGATTCGTCCCCGTGGATTGGGACGCGACCTGGCAGGGACTCAGATTCTGCTCCTGTTTCACGAGAGTCTCTTGCTTGTCCTCGGTGTCTTCGGGGGCATCGGTTTGATTTGAGGCATCCTGAACCCCGAATGACGGTGGTTCGATCGCATGAACCGTCGCCGATATTTCCGGAGGTGGTGTCAGATATGAGACCGGCGATGTGGCCTTTGTAAAAATTTTGTTCTTATTATTAAAAAATTTCGGAATCTCAAAGAAATGTCTTTCTTTTTTATCGTTACTATAACGTTTTCTCTAATTGCTCGTGCATAAAAGTATCATAAAACAGATGTTAACGGATTCTTTTTTTGTATGCATTCTTATATGACAGCGCTCTCTAATTTTTTTTAAAAAAGTCAAGATTTAGTTATTGTTCCACGCAGATATCGTAAGATTTGTGTTTTGCGCGAGGAAAATTAAAAGAGAAAGACCTTCGGGTGAGAACGGGAGAGGGAAGGCGGGCGCAGTGAAGTGCAGCAGTAATTACGTCAAACTCCGGGCGCGGTCCAGCCATTCGCATAATGTGGAAACGTTGTGGCACATTGTATTAATCATGGGCAAACCCGATTTGCATCGCTATCTGCATAGATATTGCGCCGGCCGGCCGGCCGGCCGGTCGGTCGTGCAATAATTCGCGTTGCGCGTTGCATACCTTCGACATAGGCGTGCATGGTGTTTAAACCTGGTGAAAGGTGATGTTACTTATATTACCTGTGACCTGCAGTGCGTAGTAGTAGGCTCGGCTTGGCTGATTTGCACCAGCGCCGGCGCTTGAGGGTAATAATGCAATGTGGTAACCAGGGCTGCGTCTGGTACCAGAGCTCCCGTCACAGACGTCATGGTTTGCAAGGCGGTCTTCGACGACTCGGTGGACGCTGCGGAAGATTGGGAAACGTCTTAACGCGGTTATGAAATAAGTGAACGCTGCATAAGTATTCAACCACCACTTAGTCTGATTGTTTCTTCCGGAAGTTAAGAAGTAGGACAATTAATTTGAACTTGCAGTGCTTCGTTTTTAATTATGCGCAGCGTTTTAGTTAAGTAGCGTGGAATATCATCGGTAATATTTTTTTAATAACGTAAGACTAAAGATGGACATTTTATAATTTTCGATACTGAAGATGACCTAATTTAAGGTCGAAACGTTTATCGTTGTATTATCGTTGTGTAAGAAGGATAAATGGACTATTACACTAATATCTTGCATTTTATTCTCCTTGAATAATTATTTTTAATTTGATCGGAAAGCTGATATTATATAGGAAATATTTTTTTGATTGTAAAGAAATTTCAGAAGTGTTAAAACGTAATAATCATGGTTCCTTAAATTCGTTTCTTTAAAAAAAAAGTTATTTCCTTTGTCTCGAACTCTCTTTCTCCCTGTTAAAATAATGGTCTTACGTACTGATTATGGTTGTTGGACTGTTGCTGCATTCCGTCTCAATCTTTACTATCGGCAGCGCGCTTTGTTGTTTTCTTTTGTTCTCGGTCAGCACTAATCGCGCCCCGCCGATATCACCCAGAAGTTGTATCGAGGGTGGAGGCGGTGGCAGCAGGAGTGGCGGCGGTGCAACATTATTGTTGTGGTTCGAGTAATTCGGCCACACTAGAGCCTGCTGCATTTGTTCTGTTGAAAGAAACACGTAAAATTGATTTTTGCCGCGCGCGCATTAAGAGGGATATGTTTAGAATTGCATTCCCGCATTACCCGCAGCGTGAATAAGGAGAATGTGTCCGGTCGTTGGATCGCGAACTAACTGTAATCCACCTTGCAGTCCAGAGCCCATCTGCGGAAAGCCGACCGGCTCCGTTGGCATCGCTGTAAAAGCAATATCAATTTCTCATTCTTTGTGGAACCGTGGATTAATTTCGATTGTTTCATACATATTTATGTTATACTTTTACAAGGCTGCTGCAAAACTGGAAATCGGGAAAATGTCAGGGAAATTGGAAACAGTCGGGGAAAAGTAAAGGAATTTTTCAAAATTTCTGAAAAATTAAAATTCTTAACTTTAATATACGTACATTACACCTACGTGTGGTTTTGGAATACTACAAACTTAATAATTAAATGCAAGCATGAGTGTCAACAACATTTACATTGCGCTATGTTAAATTATTCTTTCAACAGAATATTTAATGGTTTCCAAATTAAGAGAAAATACAAAAAAGTTTGAAAATATTATTAAAAGTCAGGGAAAATAATTAAATTTTGTCTGAAAATCAGGGAAAAAATGGGATTTTAAAATGAAGAATTTTGGCAACTCTGTTATACAATGATTTGATTGGGCACGCTTTTGACTGCATAAAAGTTTAAAAAATACCCGAATTATTGATTTTATGGATATTCTCTTTTTGTTCAGTAATTTTTCATATCGTAATTTAAATATTTGTCCCAAGAGAACGAAGAGATTATTACTGTTGTTATTATTTGAACATCTATCGGAAGAGCGTAAAAACGGTTGATTTTGCAACTTGTATGCTTTAACGCGTGAATTTTTGTCTATGTCTGAACGCCTATCGAGCGACGAATTAAATTAAACGGGTATGCGTGAATGATTTACACGGCGCGAAAATACGCGCGCGAGCTGCAGACCGGGCGATGTAGTTCAGCGTTATTTGGATAAATGTCACTCGGTCAACGAGGCCGGGGAGGTCAACGCGAGGGGTGAATTCGATCCAAAATTGTGTAGGGTCGTTCGTTAGTGGCCCAGTTAATCCTTCACGCCGATAGATGTGATATGATATACGCACATTGCGAAATGTTAATTAATTTGATCCTTTGTTCGTTGATACGATCCGTTTATATCGTCAAAAATGAACGTTATGCAAATTTACGTTCATATAGGTAAATATTCTCATACGCTTCTCAGTGATACGCGCTACTCTTTCATCAAATTTTACTTTTGTAAATAATCAAGTACACACGAATTGTTAGTAGAGAACAAATATGATTTAATTAGCGTTAACCGAATTTTGTAGACCGTTTCATTGCAATCGATACCGAGGGACTCACATTTTCTTGCAGTTTCATATTTCTCACATAAAATCTTTAATTCGTTACTCTCCAATTACCTTGATTTTCGATGATTTTGATGTTAACATAAATGATCTATCTCGAGACATGAAATTTCCTACAACTTCGTTTTCATCCAATCTCGATTCGTAAGATTTCGTTTACTATTCGAACCGAATTGTACGAGGTCAGGGTGGTTTCGCATATTATTTTTGTAATGATGATCGGCTGCGGATTACCCACCTGCGGCCGCCGTAGCTGGATACTGCCACAGTGTGGGCGGCCAAGCAGCAGCGGCCGTATCGGCCGGGGCCGCCGGTCCGCCGCTGATGCTGCCCAGGGTGGAATTCAGGCTGGAATTCAGACTGGAATTCAGGCTCAGAGAGGGCGCGAGAGCCCCGGAGGGAATGGCAGCGAGGTGGGCCGCACGATCCTCCCCTCCAGGCCCTCCGCAGTGCACCAGGGTAGTGCCGCCTACCGCCATGGCCGTGCTGGAACCTACAACGGACCCAGGCTTGTTCATCGAGATTCATCCACTGTGAATATCAACAGAGATCGAGGGGAGTACCCGTTGGTAGCAGAGAACGGAACCTCTAAGCTATACGGATGGTTCTCTTTCCACCAAATGACAATAAAAGCCAGCAATTCGAGAAATTAGATGAGCGTTAGTTTCGATGTGCAATATTCCAGTCCTTTTTAGATTTGCGTTATAAAACGGATTCAAATATCGAATCCGTGACATTTCTGAAAATTTTAAGGTAAAGAAGCGTAAGAATTCTCGAATAGGATATCGACAAAATTCAGTTCATATACTGATGATGTTATTAATATTAATAGGAAATTTCCATGAAAGTTTCAAAGATAACTATAATTAAAAATCTGTACTTGGAGTCTACGTAAAACTATATGCATTCCCTTTTATTAATGGCGTTATTTTCGAAGTAGTATTAGTTTGCAATATTCGAAATTCGATATGAACATCAGTCAGATACGATCCGTCATATTACGCAATATTCGTTTTTAGATTTGTATTATGAAACGGATTAAAATGTTGAAACTATGAGATTTCTACAAATTTTTAAGTAATAGATAAACGGAAAAATTCTGGAATAGAGTATCGAAAAATAAAAAGATTCAGTTTATATATAGTGATGATTTCATCATATTGATAACAAATTTCCATGAAAGTTTCAGAGATAACCAATTAAAAGTTTGTACTTAGAATCTACGTAAAACTATGCATTCTCTTCTATCAATGGCGTCATTTTCGAAGAAGCATCGTCATAAAAATAATAGCCTCAGGCCTGCGGTAATAGCGACGATATTTTTTCGCAATAAATTACGCTCAAGATACGAGATAATAATGCAGCCGGCAAATCGTTCATTCCTCAACATTGATAAAGCGATAAGTGTAAAAAAGTTGGATCGGTAAAAAGTATCATACGATTGATATTAAAGATTTTTTTTCGTACGCGACGAATAAATTTTCAAAAATAACTCCATCAAAACCTAAAGCGAGCACTCTTTAGTATTCCGGTTTAGAGTTGCAACTTGAACGATCACACTATGAAAACATGCTGCGCGTAATTGGATACCATATATATTGCATGCAACTGGAAGCTGGGCATATTCATTTGAAAGAGATATCCTTTAACTGAAACAAACTATTGTAAAAGCGTACAGGTTTGCCGAAGTCTAACGCTAATATTTGATCAATAATATTCCTTTAGATATATATCGATGTTGTACTCGATATAAAAAGCAACAATCGCGCGGTTACTGGAACGTAGACCTTGCAAACAATTTTACATTGTAACGTTTTTCAATTAATGGTATTGAAAGAATTCACATTTTTGTAAAGAAATCGCGCAATACTATTTCTTCCATTTGCACTTTTTGCATCGCTCTTTCATACTGGCGAGAAGCACAATCCTTATACGCCGGGTCCGATGTATTCGCGTTATCGAATGTCGATTTTACGTTTGCGAGTAAGAATGTTCCAATGTTAACGCTCGCGATTTCATTCATTGCGTCTAGAAATAGAGTTTCATAACCACGATATCTTCGTGAGAAAAACTTACCTAGACTGTCCGGCTGGAAATGATGATAACTCGTTGCGTGATGAGACGTGTGATGACTTAAGGACACATTGCGCATAGACGTCGAAGTTTCTTGATGCTGCAATCGCTGCCTCGCCACAGCAATGCCAACCGGTATGCCACTGGCTCCCGCATTAGAAACGGCTATCCCTGAAACGATTAAGGAAATCGCGCGTGAATCGCAACGAGAGAAACTGCGATGCTACAGTCGGCTCGATCGTAGACTCGGTTGAGAACTTAAGAGTACATTATGATGAAGCACGAACTGAAACGGTTCTCAAAAGTATATTGATTGATAAAATTTATCACTGAATATCGTATCATTGAATATCGACCTCTCATTGAATATTGAAGGCTTTTCCTTCTTTTAATTTTGTGCATTTTAAATACCTATCACGCTTGTAAAAATCAAGAACTATCATCGAACCACGAGATCCAAGAAAACAAGAACCGATATTTTGTTGAGTTCAGTTTTATGCTGTCGTAGATGTATGAAAAAATGTTGACGGCTGCAATTAACAATTCGTAAGGTTTGTTCTTTTTAGATGGACTTTTTGCACGGTTCGTCTATTTGCTTTTCTCTTCACATTGGCTCGAGGAAAAAAAAAAGAGGAAAGATGAACCGTGCAAAAAGTTCAGCTAAAAAACCAGATCTATTGTTTTACGTATTGATGTTGCGAACATACCAATTGAATTCAAAACTATTTCAATTTAGACTTTCAGTCTATAAGTTATAGATAAATTGTAGGTACAATCGTGGATAAAGAAACGCAATTTACGGAAACTGTCCACAAGTTTTTCATATCTGAAGTGCATCTATCCAAATTTATCCATTTCCTCCTCTCTTCCCTCCTGGATTATCGATCTTTTTTGTTAAACCTCGCGAAATTTTCTTTAACGTATTAAAATTTTATCGACATACCGTGGTTTACGAGGATTTCATCAACGTGCTGCAAAATATGGAATTTTTCTAATAACGTAAATCCAGATACGCGATGAACGCTAAAGTCACGTTATCCTTTTCTTAATTAGTTGTTAAGAAGAGGATAATCTGACCTTAGCGTTCACCGTATCTGGATAAACGATATTGCAAAAACTGCTATTGTATTCAGTTAGATCACCGTCTCTACTTACCCGTCCGCTCTTCTTAACATTGGGGAGTTTTTGCAGTACCGTATATCCAGATACGGTAAACGCTAAAGTCTCGTTATTTAGTGGAAAATCGAAGTGCGCATGTGGATGATTTTAGCGTTTACCGTATCTGAATAAACGGTATTGCAAAAACTCCCTATTACATTCTCGTGGTACTCAACCCTACGTATTTTCACCGGAACGCGGCGGAGTTGATTCGGAAGTGCATTCATTTAAATCACCATCTCGATCTTCCCTTTCCCCGCACCTTCCACGCTTCGTCCTCTTTCTTTTCTTTCCTGTCCGCCTCTTTTCTCCGCACCTTCGGCGACACGCGTTATGCTCGCATGACGTAACACATGTGGGCATCACGCACCGGCACGAGGTGTACCAGGGAGTGCGGATGTGTCAGGACCGAAGAGAGGGTCGAGACTCTTTCGAACCACGCCTTGTATTTGCGTCGCCATGCGTGCCACGCACCTCCTACTTTAACGAGACTGTCTGCCTGTCCGCCACTCTCCTTCTCTCTCTCTTATTTTCTTTCTTTCTTGCTCTTTCTTTCTCTTGCGCACCTCATTTCTTTGCTCTTTTCCTCTCACCATCTCGCTTGTGAATCAACCGACCGACAGACCGGTCGGTCTCTCGTCTCGTACAATCTCGTTTCACATCGTCCTTCTCTTACTCTC